ATCCCATCTAAATCTTAAATCATTTTATCCCTTCCCTTCCCTTCCCTTCCCTTTCCTTCTCTTCCCTCTCTACCCTCTCCCTCACACATGGACCACCATATTGAAGATTATTAAATATGCCAATAAAGAGCAAGAAGGAACCAGCTGCACTAGGATTAAACAATTGGCAACAGGACCACAAAACCGGGACCACAAGCCGGGACCACTAGCTAACCAGATGAGGAAGGATCTAGAAGGAGATTGTTAGGGATTTGTTACAGAATCAGTTTTCTAGAATGTGTATTACTCTCTTTGAATCATGTAAAATCTGTATATATATTCTTGAGCTATTGTACATTTAGCAATTAAGCAAGTTCAATACAAAAACATTCTTTCTCCCTAGTTTTATTTTTATCAGCATCTTGCTTCATATATTTCATACTTAAAACACCACAACCGTTGGAGACCACCTCTGAGCGCCGCCGTGAAGCGGTGCTCTTTGCCGTGAAGCCATTCTGCTCATTCGTCTCCCATCTCTTTATTTGTCGCACGTCATGCTGTTGCCACTCTGTTGTCTCTCTCTTCACTGTGCTACACAAAGAAGCCATGCCACTAATTTGAGAGCCTAATGCAGCGGCACTTGCGCGACAATGATTTGAGCATCATAGCGGTGTTCACAACACCACACAACGGCGCTTTGAGATTGTGAGTTTTTGTTGCTCAATCAGTGTTTATGTTTTTGTTTGTGAGTTTTAGATTATGAAATGGTATTAGTAAGGTAGTATCGGCACTGACTCATGAACACGAAATGAGATGTTTTAATTATGGAAGTCACTATTGTAAAATGCACAATCTCATTATAATGTAATTTTAATGGGTCTCAAACAGATACAAAGTTTAATATAAATTATAAAATTAAGAATTCTTATAACAATGGCTTTATATGGTTGGGATGATTCATTATTTGTCCATTACGAGAAATCTATTGAAATAAATAAAAAAAATAAATCATGTTGCCTTCAATGGTTATCGAATTCAATGTCAATTGAGTCCAAATTAAATTCATGACAGAACATCATTCTATAAGAAATCATTGGTCACGTGGCGGTTGGCTATGTAGTCAACTAGCCAGCCATTACGTTGAAGTCATGAGTTGAGACAAAAAGTCCACCCAAACATGCTCGAACGGTAGTGCTTATTTGAGAAAACTAAAAATTTTAATATCATAGTTAACAATTAATTTTAATCACACATTTCAAAAAATTTATAATTTTTAATGATTTTTCAATTACACACTTCATCGACATTTATCAAAATCTACTCATCAAAAGTTTTGTCTAACAACCCTCAATCTTTTATTTCGCCTTGAGATTTTTCCTCTTTGATTTAAACCTCTTCTTGAACGTTGTTGTTTTCTTGGTAAATTTTGAATAAATGTAAAGAGTTTTCTTTCAATATTTAACCTCAATTCGGTATTCGCTGCTGGAATCAACAAATTGTTTATAAACGTGCTATTCAAATCTGCTTTGTTAGTCCAAGCAATTAAGAGCTTGTTTGATAGGGATTTTTGGGGGAAGAATTGAATTTTGAACAGTGATATGATAGGAAATGTGTGGTTGAAAAAGAAGAAAAAAGTATTGATGTGATGAAAAATATTATTTTATTGAAAAATGTGTGGTTGAAAATGAGAATTGATTTACCGTAGAAAATGAGAATCTGTACCNAAATGTGTGGTTAAAAAAGAAAAAAGTTATTGATGTGATGAAAAATATTATTTTATTGAAGAACGTGTGGTTGAAAATGAGAATTGATTTACTGTAGAATTTGAGAATAAAAAACAAACATCCCCTAAAACTATTTTTACTTTTTTATTTTTTCTTAATGACCCAATTAAATAATTAACCCATTTTCAGTTTTTTTTCCCAATAAAATTTTCCTTTCCCGTGGTTCCAAACTGATAAGTTCCGGTTCGATTCTAATACTAAAGATGGAACCAAATGGTTCCATTATCAAAGAACTATTGATTTTCGGTTTCGATTCCTTGAAATCGGAGCCAAACCTAACCATGCCTAAGCGTATCGCGCCAAATTTGCGATTCTTGTATTTTCATCGTTTTACATCTATCATTGCATGTTTTATTCCGCATACATTAATATGGAAAATGCTACATGCTATGTAAAATGACCTGGCCAAGAAATCGAACACACTCGAATGCAAAAACAGCACAAAAAATCCTTGAAAGAATATGTAAAATCATCATCTAACAACAGGGAAACTATATAAACTATAGTACATGAAAAAAATTTAAAAAAAATCCCACTCTTGTTTGTTTTTGGCCAACTAGAATTGGTAATCAGGAGAGCCTCCCAAAGCTATTCAGAACCAAGGAAAGCAGCATTTCTGCATAAAACAATAAAAGAAAAAAGAAAATCTGAATTGTTATTGAACTTAAAATATAGGAGCATAAGAGGGAGCTAAAGACCTTTCAAAATAGGAAGTAATTTACAAACCTTCTCTACTCAAAATCATCTCTACTCACACTATGGTCAGGTGTTGGCCTAACTGCTCCCCTTGCAATTGGTTCATTCGGTCTAGTTCTTATAGGCTTCGATGGAGCAGGAGCTGGACGAGTAGGATCCATGTTGGGGAACATATCTGGATTCTCTAGCCGGTCGTTTGGATTTATCATCTTCCCACCTCTAGTTTTCCGTGCATTTGCGAAGACGACTGTGTAGGGGACACTCTCGTCATCTTCCCAGTTACCAAATTTTGGAACAACTGGACGCTGTTTCGAAAAGAGGAAGAAATATTATTTCCTGTTTGATGCAATAGTTGCTTCATGCAGTGGCGGACCTAGGATCTCAACT